TTTCTGCATCGTGAGAATGATGAACTGATCATGTATAAATGAATCGCTTTGGTATTCAAAAGGGAGAAAGTGACTGAGGGAGGCATGAAATGGAATGAGGAAGGATACAAGCACTTAATTATTAAGAGAGAAATGAAAGTATTTACACTTAACTTGAGGCGTGAAAGCTAGAGAGGAGCTTGTTCTCACGTTTATTATACTATATGACATGCATGTCATCGGACAAACAAGTGCATTAAGCTATGCAGTGCTAATATGATGAACATCAAAGACCAAACACCCAATCCTCTTGATATGCCCGATAAGACATGGAATGATGATGATGATGATGATGATGATCATACACACAAAAAAAGACTGATGGAAATATCTGCTACTTCTGAGAAAAAAAAATCGACAAGAATGAGGAAGAACCAGAGAAACACAACAGCGTTTGAGTCCGGCTCGATCACATTTAACATCAAATCATAAAAAACATGAAAGAAAATGATGTGATTGCATGGCAGATGATGATGAGCTCAGAGATGGCTGGATTGTTGTCACTGGGTCTGGTCCTGGACGGTTGGCTATTTACAGGTCCTTTGGATAAAGCTTTTCCATCCGTATTTTTGGTGTTTGTTTTTGGTATTTGGTATGCTTGTATTTTTTGTCATAGTGAGTCTCTCAAAGTTCCATTATACTTTTTGGTATTCAGTACTTCACATGTTTGCTTCAAAGAGTTGCAGTTGTTCTATAACACACAGTAAAGTTCATTATTTTTTATGTGTTTGGTGCTCAAGGATCTCTCTTCTCACTGCACTACATTTTTTTTTTGGTCTCCTTTTATTTATGTATTTGACTGCGTCCCGCTAAGCCGCGTGGTGTTTTTTTGGTTTCATTTTCCCTCCTCTCCTCTTCCTTCCACTCAGTCTCTCCATCTCTCCCCTCTTCTACTCTGTATATTTTTGGCATCAGTAGAGTGGGAGAGTGTAAATGAGAGGAAACGAAAGGGAGCGAGGGGATCAAGAGATGCTTTGGTTGACAGGTAAGGTTTAAGCTCCTCCTTCTCCTCCTCCTGTGATTGGTCTTGGGCAACGTCACTCGATTTGAGCCCCTCCAATCGAGTGTGGGCTGTGTAGCAACTCGCCGGAAGAGCAGGAAGAGATGGGGCTCGAGCAAGGGGAGGGACTCATGCCGCCTGTAACAGGAAATAAGGTTTTGGCAAGAGCTGAACCGCCCAATCCCATGCCGGTGCCTGTTGCCATTTGCAACAAAGAAGAGTGGTTGAGAAAGAGGGAAGAGGGAAGACCTGCTCCTTGGCCTCCAGAACCACCAATTAACACCTTGCTGCTGCCCTCAAGACTGGAAATGGGCAGCTGGCCACCACTGGCTGCTAGGGCTGTGGAAGAGACACAGTATTACAAGCATCAACGAAACTGACATGTTACGCAATGAACAGGATGCGCTTGTACCATGTGAACTGATGAACAGATGTGAGAAAAGAATAATAGGAGTGGAAGGACGTAAACAAACACTCAAACAGAGAGGACACACATGACTGATATGAGGTGGCAGAGTCATTAGTGTCTCTCCCACCCTCCCTTTCACACAAACCTTGTATAGTAGCAAGTGGGTTGCTGCCAAGAAGAGCTTGGTTCATTCCTGTTTTAACTCCCCTCACCGTATTCCTGATTCACACAAACCAACCCACAAAACACAGAAAAGAGAAAGGAATACAGGGAAGAGGAAGGGAAAAAACATTTAGAAGCATAGTTAAGAGCTGGAAAAACAGTGCAAGAAGACAGGTTTTTGCAGAGTAAATATGGCTTTTCTTGTAATACAATGCAGGCCACACACCAGCAGACCTCAGTGACAATCCTTACGCTAAGATGTATTTGACCAAATCTTTTAAACAAATAAGCAATATCGCTGAACAAATATACAAAAATGACAGCACTTAAAAAATATAAGAAATGTAAATAAAAAAATAACACAAATTTAAAAAAAAATTGTAATATCAAAACAAATATATAATTTGTAATTAATAATATTTGTATATAATAATCTAACTGATAACTTTTTTAAATGAAGTGTTTACCTTCATACTGTATGTATACATAGTACTGTTAAAAAAATTGGAATCAATTTAATTGATGCATGAAAGTGACAGTAAATCTTGTTTTTACATTGTTACAAATAAATGCTGTTTTCTTGAACTTTGTAATGACAGGAATGACAACACATAAATAAATTGCATTTAAAAAATATAATAGAAAACATTTATTTTAAATTTGTAATAGTGCTTTACAGTATTACTGTATTTATGATCAAATTAATGCAGCCTTGGTGAGCATTTTTTCAATCTTAGCACCCCAAACATTTGAATGGTAATGTATAATTGATGTAAGTAATATTGACAATGACAAATACATTTAAATGAGTGACTGCGTGTGTGTGTGTGTGTGTGTGTGTGTGTGTGTGTACCTGTTTACAAGCTAATAAATTGCACATAATTAAGTTTTTTGAAAATCTAAAAATGCACAAAGTTTCCTGTGAGGGGTAGGTTTAGGGGTAGGGTTGGCGTAGGGCAATAGAATATACGGTCTGTACAGTAGAAAAACCATTACGCCTATGGAGAGTCCCCACAAGGATAGTAAACCAGACATGAGTGTGTTTTATATTTGTGTGTGTGTGTGAGAGAGAGAGAGAACACAGACTCTGCTGGTTGTATTCACCTCAAACATGCAGCAAAGTCAGTGATGTAGTTAGAAACATCACCATTCTTTTTATGCCATGAACTGCGGATGACAAAACCACACACACAAAAATACATTTACACACACACAAACACTGCAGTTACCTACATTTGCTGAGCCACAGGGAGTAAAAGGTGATGAATATGTGCTGAGTGGATGTGTGTGTGTGTGTGTATGTATGTGGGAGAGAGAAATTAACTCACCCTGTGTTCAGACTTAGTGTACTGTGAATTGGAGGGGCGGGGCTGGCATCACTGCGGGGAGGCGGGGTTACAGGAGATGGTGCAGAGCTTAAGGAGAGGCCACTTGGGGTCAAAGGGCAAACTGGTGACATAGTGGTCACTGACGGTGGGAAAGAGTTAGAGCATCCATCATATATATATATGTATAAATATAATTTAATTATATGTCTGATCAGCAGACGTCCACTTGTGCACCCTACCTGCTATACCGAGACTGCTCACTGTCTGCGATGGTCCCTGACTCGGCATCTGTAAGGAAGACGCAGATATGATGTCACAGGTCAAAAGGGAAACATGATGGACAGAGAGTAACAGAGGGTGAAAAAGGAAAGAGGCTGGTGTCAAATACTGGAAGGCTTGTGCTCTGTTTGTGAATTTAAGTCACTCAACTACAAAACCTCAGTTATATAGCAAAATACTGAGTTTCAAAGTGAAAACATGCATTAGTAACAGGCTGAATCCTCCTAAAGTATTATGACAATGACAGTGAATTAGTTGTGTAAACTGGCTATGAAGGTATGAATTATTACACATTAAAATGCAAAGCAATGCAGGGTGGGTGAAATATATGCACCATTATGGGAATTATTATTATCATCTGCTCATGCAGGAGAACCTAGTAGTGTTGTGGCACAGGGTGGTTGGAGACGGGGTATGGGCCAAGGGAGCAAGCCGGGTCGTACCATGTGCGGGCTGTAGCAGAGGGGTTTGTGCAAGGTGGGCTGGGGTTGGCTGGGCAAGGGAGGGGTGGCACTGGAGGGGTTAATACGTTTCTCTTTCTGTCGGCGGTTGCAGAACCAGACACGGATCACCTCCTTCTGCATGCTGAGCTTCTCGGCGATGAGTAGGATCTCCTCTGAGGTAGGCTTCTGGTTCTGAATGCAGAAAACACAACCGAGGTTTAGCATGGGATTATTAGAGGACATTCATTTTGGAAGCATTTAGTTACTACCACTCAAAGGTTTAGGGTCAGAACTTAACAGAGCAGAACAGAACAGCACTTTTATTCAGCAAGGATGCATTAAACTGAAAGTCAAAAAGTGACAGTAAAAAGACATTTGAAATGTTACAATAAATTTCTATTCCAAATAAATGCTGTTCTTTTTAACTTTCTGTCAATCAAAAATTCATCTTTTTACTATCACATGAATAAATGTATGTAAAAATGTAAAAATAAAAAATTGTTGTCTTATATTGTAATAACATTTAATAATATTACTGTTTCTACTGTATTTAAAAACAAATGCAGCCTTGGTGAGCATAAGAGACTTATTTTGAAAAATAAATAAATAAATAAAAACCTACCAACCCACTTATTCATAAGTTTTGGTCCTGCCAAAAGCTGGAAAACTACTGGATACTTGTAATGAAAACACTAAATGAAGCCTTTAACTTGAATATAACACCCTGTGTTGAAATTGCTATCTTTGGAGTACCAGAACATGGAATACCTTTGACTAACAATATGAAAAATGTTTTTGCAAGAAGGAGAATATTGTTGGAATGGAAATATAAATAAACCACCAAAAACTTCAGTGTGGATTTGTGATTTAATATTATACTTAAAACTAGAAAGAATAAAATATGTCAAAAAGGGATCCATTCAAAAATGTTATAAAATTTGGAGACCTACCTTCTAACTAATTAATAGGACTTAAGTTTTAGAAAGGCCATCTGGCCTTAATATACTTGGTTATGTCATGCTTGCTTGTATATCTACACAGAAAGACCATTTGAGTGAAATTTAGTTTTTTTTTAATTGTGAACTCTTATTTACTTGTTTAATTAACAAAAATTGACTTTGATATATCTGCTTGATAAAAAAATATTGAAATGTATCCTGCTATTTTGTATAGTAAGCACTCTGTTAATATTATTTATTCATATAATTATTAATTGGTCGTTTGGTTATTTATTTATTATTTTTCCATTTTCTGTTAATTCAGGGTTGTGGAACCGGGTGGGGAAAGAAAATAAATGTAATTGTTTGAACTTTTTTTGGTTTAAACATGTTTGAAAAATTAATAAATAAAGTGCAAAAAAAACAAAAACAAAAAAAAACAACCCCAAACTTTTAGCTGGTAGTGTATATTGTGCAAGGAATTTGAAATCATGTGTTCTGACCGTGATGAAGCTGTGTTCCAAGGCGATGCGGACGTTGGTCTCAATGCTGGTGCGTTTCTTCCTACGGCGGCCAAGCAGGGCCTCAAACCCCAGGGAAGGAGAGGAAAGAGCACTGGGACTTGGCAAGGTGCTGTCCATCGACATTGTTTCTAAGTAAACCATAAAAAAATTTTTTTTTTTTTTTACTGTTAATTCAGTCACAAAATGTTTTATATATGGCATAACCATTTTTTACATTTTATTTTTTTAATGATGTGGCTTAAATGCCACTCAAACTGTAGTTTAAGACAGAACATGTTTTTGAGATTGAAAGGAACTTAAAGGGATAGTTCACCCAAAAATGAAAATTCTGTCATCATTTATTCACGCTCTATTCCAAACCTGTATGACTTTCTTTCTTCTGTGGAATATAAAGGAAGATATTTTGAAGAATGTTGGCTTCCACTGTATGAACAAAAACAAAAAAAACAATTGAAGTCAATAGGAATTGAAACTGTTTGGTTGCCAACATTCTTCTAAATATCTTGTGAAGAAAGAAAGTCATGCAGGTTTGGAACAAAATGAAGATTTTCAGAATTGGGTGGAATATCCCTTTAAGCACTAGGTTTGATCGGCAGCTGTAATCTAATGCAGCTGTTTGTGATGGTTACCTGCGTCAGTCAGCCACTTCTCCAACAGAGGTTTGAGTTTGCACATGTTCTTGAAGCTGAGATTAAGCGCCTCAAAGCGAGAGATCGTGGTCTGACTGAAATCATTCCCATAGAGCTTCCCCATGGCCAATCCCACATCACCCTGTAGAAGGAAACAGAGACCAAACATTACTATACAGGGAAATACAAATCTTCTGAGTGTGCGAGTGTGTGTGTGTGTGTGTGTGTGTACCTGTGTGAAGCCCAATTTGATCCTTCTCTGTTTGAATGTGCGGGCAAATTGCTCCAGTTCCTCCAGATCACTGGGCTCCTCAGGATGAGAGGTCACTGTGTTCACGCTGCTCTCTGCAACCTTCTCCCTCTGCCACAAACCAGACACACCCATACAAGACTCGAACATGAGTGTCAGGTGTAAATGTGATGGGAGGAGAATAGCAGAGAATGCAGAATTGTGCACATACATTACCGTTAACAATTTTGGGGTTGGTAAGACCTTTGTTGTTTTTGACTACAACTGCATTTATTTGATCAAAATTCAACAACAGCAACAACAGTATTATTGTGAAATATTTTTACAATTTAAAACAGTTTTCTGTCTTCATACGTTTTCAAATTATTCCTGTGACATCAAAGCTGAATTTTCTGCATCATTACGCCAGTCTTCAGTGTCACATGATCTTTCAGAATCATTCTAATATGCTGATTTGGTGCTCAAGAAACATTGTTAACATTATAATCGTTGTTGAAAACAGTTAATATTAATACTTATTAATACTTCCACGTAATTTTTTTGTTGAAATCATGATACTTTTTCAGGGTTTTTTGAAGACTAGAAAGTTCAAAAGAACAGCAACTGTCACTTTTGATTAATGTATTGTGTTTTTGCTGAATAAAAAAAAATAAAAAAATTACCCCCAATCTTTTGAACGGTAGTGTATATTTTACTACAGCTGTCATGCACACAAAATTACAAAGTTCAAACATATTATTGTGTTTCCCTTTTTAAATAGGGAACTGAAAAAACTGAAAAGTAATGACAGTCATCACAGTTTTTACAGTTAATTATTCAGTTATTTTATTCTGTTGTATGATTTTTTTTCTTTATAGAGTTTTCTACATTTAACAAATAAATATCTTTCCAAGTACCCCTTGGAATCTGTTTAAGTAACCTCTGGCATATGTTTACCCCTGTTGGGGAACAGAAAACTCACAAATATATGATCTTCCATCAGACGTTTGTACCTGTGCTTGAAGACTAAGTCTGGGTGGAGCGGCCAGCAGGCTTCCTTGGTTTTGCTGAGGTAGTGGAATTAGATTTGGCATTGATAGCAGCCCTGAAACATACACAACCATTAAGATTTTATTTATTACAATTAAATCGAATCAGATTTATAGGATCATGACAACTGACATGCAACAACACTTAAAGGAACACTCCACTATTTTTGAAAATAGGCTCATTTTCCAACTCCCCTAGAGTTAAACAGTTGAGTTTTACCGTTTTCGAATCCATTCAGCCGATCTCCGGGTCTGGCGGTAGCACTTTTAGCTGCAGCTTAGCATAGATCATTGAATCTGATTAGACCGTTAGCATCTCACTCAAAAATGACCAAAGAGTTTCTATATTTTTCCTATTTAAGACTTGACTCTTCTGTAGTTACATCGAGGAATCAAGGAACTTTGCTGCAGTACCATGGGTGCAGCAGGCGCAATGATATTACGCAGCGCCTGAAAATAGTCCCCGGCTAGGTAACTTCCAATAAGCCTATTTTCAGGTACGGCAGCAAAGTTCCTTGATTATTACGCCGGAATGAGAGTATAGTTCCTAGCTCAGATGAAAATTTACTGGTACCTGGCTGTCACTTACCTGATTATTTGAATCCGAGCCATTTCTTTCTGAGTCTGAGAAACACAATGAGAGAAGACAACATTTATGATAATTTAGTAAATGTAAGTAAGGTTTTAGTTAAGATAGTATAGTTAGTTTTTTTTGTTTTAGTATAATTTAGCTTAATTATAGCAAAAGGCATGTTATTTATTTATATAAATTTTTATTGTTAAATTTACTTTTGTTTATTCTTTATTATTGATTTATTTTTTCCAAATTTTATGAAAACAATTGTTAGCACAACATAAAAATTAATGTTGCTTTTTTTGAGGAAATCTTTGTTGCAAATAATATATATATACAGTATATATATATATATATATATATATATATTTAACTCTAGGGGAGTTGGAAAATGAGCCTATTTTCAAAAATAGTGGAGTGTTCCTTTAATGTTTAATTGTTTAATTCATATTAAACATCAATATTGTAAAAATATAATTTTTAACACAACTAAAATGAACAAAATTACTTGAATAAAGATTAGATCACTTTGATGAACATGATCCAATGAGAGAGTAAAATGATCTGATCTTCCCATCACTAAAACTAATAGTAAATAAGCTACCTTGCTGCCCTTGCTGTGTTTGTGGTAAAAGAAACTGTGCGGGTGAAGGCAGAGTGTGTCCTGGAACGAGGACTAACTGCTGCAGCTGCAGCAACTGCTGAATGTCCTGAAAGAGAGAAAAGAAACAGATGCTGAAAGGATGTGATGGTTTCACTCTGATGAATGACTGAAAGAGCAAAAGGACTGATTCGGGAACATTATTAACTGTGACATTAAAGGCCTGCGGAGGGAATTCACCAAGAAGAAGCGAATAAGGTGCAGGCCTTTGAGTCTCAAAATTGGCTGTTCAGTGAATTTGTCCCTAGTATCACCTCATTTAAGGTGTGCTGCTCAACGCTGATTGGCTGTACCTGCGCAGTGAGCTGGATTGGCTGAGAAAGAGGAAGCTGGTGAGGAGGAGGCGGGACAGGGGCGGCGGTTTGTTCCTGTGTGCTCTGCGATTGGCCCTGCGACTGCGGCTGCGCTGCCTGCTGACTGGCCTGCTGCTGGGCTTGCTGTTGATTGGCCGCGTGGGCCGCATGCGACTGCTGCACAGCTGCAGCGAGGAGCTGTGCCTGCTGTAAGAGCAGCTGCTGCTGTGCTGGCAAAAGTGCAGTCAACTAGAGAGAGAAAGAGCGGCAGAGAAGGAAAGTGTGGTGAAAATAAGAGTTAGAAAAGTGGATGAAAGAAAGCACATCTAAAGCAAGCAAGCGCACATAGGAACCCACACACACACACACACACATATATATATATATATAAAGAGTAAGTGCGTGTGCATGTACTGGCGTGTTTGTCTTACCCCTGCGAGCTGACCACCTGTTAGCATCAGCTGTGTGTGGGGAAGGGCTGTCTGAGCAGGTGTAGTTTGTATAGCAGCAGGTGACATCTCACCACAATCCTCCACCTTAGTCTGAGACATAGTGACAGAGAAATGTTGATGATGAATTCACGTGTTACTAAAAGAGACAGTGAGTGGGGGTATTGAAATGATCGAGGGTGATAAAGTGAGGTTAATAAAATACTAGCAGCTCATGAGGTGGAAAAACTCTAATCTGTAAACTGTAAAAGACTAACGTTTAATCAAATTGTCTTCCAAACAAATTTTTGATTGGTCACAAACAAGAAATTGAGCAGATCTGTATGTAAATCACTCAGTAATACAGGACACAAACATTCACATGCATTTACACACATTCACTCACCTTGGTGCTGCTGCTCAGTGTGGGAGAAAGAGAGAAAGGGTTGATTTTCATTGGCTGAACATTTTATTATATTATTACAAATATGCAGCAAAAAAATTCTTTTATCATATTTGTTATAGGGCTAGTGCAAATGTTATCATGTCAAGTAAATATAAGAGCTGGAAATTCCTTTTTATTGAGCCTTGTTGCAGACATACAAAAATATAATGTAGCTTTATACCAGTGCTCTCCATCGGAGAGTCTGCCGCTGGATTCTCAACCTCAGTTGGCTTTGACATTCTGATATCTGTGAAAAAGAGAGAGGGATATGAGGTCAGTCATCAACTTTTGCTACATGCTGATGCATTTAGAATACTTTAAAATATCAAGAGCCATGTTCAACGGTCCAATCCCATTCCACAGTATATATATATTAATATTATTAAATAGTTTTGATGAGGATAATGATGATGAAGAATGGAAGTGTAACAAACACAAATATGATATATTTTGAATGAAAAGGACACACAAATGCACACATTTTGATGCTAAAGAAAATGTAGAGGTCTAGATTCCTCCATTCTCACACAAGTGGAGACGTGCTTAATCCAACAAACAACTAATAATGATTTCGTCACCACAGACGTGTCACTTCAAATTTAACTGTAACTGAAACCGAGCCCATGGGACTGTCCCAGTCCCTCAGCGGAGAGAAACAGAGCGTGCAAAATAAACGTGTGTGAAATATGTTGTATCTTTTAAGAATCCTAAAAACATTTTTTTTAGAAAAGAGATTTATGTTCTGGTCTACACTCAGTTATGTAGATACACATAAATATATTCTACATAAAAGTCAGAACACACAACTAAACGTGTGTATATTTCTGACAAATTCAAGCCAGTTTAGTTTATTTGTATGGCACTTTTTACAATACAAAGGAGCATTAAGCAGCATCAGCTTTATAATTTCTGTAGCCAAAAAAGCTCTCAAACAGACAAGCATAAACACACACACACACACACAGAGAGAGAGCGAGAGAGAGAAACACACTCACTTCCCTTTTGTGAAAAATGCAAATAAAGCCAACGACTGACTAATAATATCACCCACCTGCATATACCACTATCTCATCTGATCCTCTCTATCTATCTCCCCCTCAACACTCACACTTCATCCTTCATTTATCATTTATTCACCATTCCTTTCATCAAAAACTTGCATGAAACAATAAGGTCTTACCAGATACTGATAATTAATATCTGCCTCCTCCAGGGGGCAGTACAACTTTTTTTTTTTAAAACGTGACTGTAATAATCCCAGAGAAAGTTACACAGGAAACCAGCTTCACTAGTATCAGTTGAGTCACTCTGTAAAAGCCACCAAAAAGCTGAAGAATTGCCGACTTCCTCAGACAATCAAATCCAGGGTCCACTGACAGTGATTGGGGAAAGGAAGTAAAAAGGGAGGAAAGCCCCTCTCGAGGCCTGTCAGCAAACAGGCTATATCTATGAGGGTTTCCACAGAATAGCCTGCTGGTAAAATTGTGCTCTGATAGCTCAGGCTGAAAGTTTGAGAATATTTTCAGATTGTGTCACACACAAGTTCTGGCTATTTTGAGTATGGTATCATAATTCATCTGAATAAAATAAGCTGACTGGAGGTCTTCAGAGAAGCATCGTTGATTTGAAGCAAAAATTTGTTTTTAATCAGGGTTTATTTTATGTGGATCATCACAAACCTATCTGACACCTTGCAGTCTATGATAACTCATTTGATATACATCCACCACAGTTTCGCATTATCAAATCTAGAATATTAGGTTTGTTTTATATGAAGTGAATGTGCAGTTCATCATTCATATGAAGTTAATATGAAAGAGTGCCTGATGGTTTTGGTGTTAATGTCTCACTTCCCTCTTTGTTTCCCCTCAGGCTGGGGCATACACAAAGTGTTAAACCAAACCCTTCGGGCCAGCTATTATTAATACACACATTCACATGCACACACACACATGCGCACATGCTTAAATGTAAGTGCTGCTATATAACATAAAGTCCTTATACAGTAGCTGACACACAGTTCTGTTTCTTATTTATTTTGAACTTCTCTATTTCATAACTTCTGTATTACAAAGATCTCTATTCTTTTTTTTAAAATCTGAAATAAATATGCTTACACCGCCTGCACATACTGGAAATGATTTCCAAGCTAAATTATTGTAATGCAATATTAATTGACAATAATAATACTCCACATTTCAGAGGGAGAAAGAGACTTTCTGCACACCTTCAGCAATACATGTTTCGTCTCTTATTTCTATGTTAACCTCATATTCACTAATTTTGCCTTATTTTCCATTTGGCAGTTCCATGCATCCTCTTTTATAAGTGGCTTACATTTAGCAAATACATTTTTCCTCTGAGCTGAACCCATGATTTCTGTCCTTCTACCACCACGTTATACTACTGTTGAGTCTTTATTGATCTTCAGGATCCCTGAATGTGCCTGTTATCTAGCAGAGGCTCATTTTCAGTCACCAGTCACATATTTTTACTTTTTGATGCCACATGTAAAGATGAAGAGCTTTCTTTTAACAAGAATCAGGGCAATCTCAGACCTCAATCTCCATCACAGCATGAATTAACCTCTCAATTTGCTCAGCTCAATTAGTTTGTATTTAACCGCGTATTCATAATCTAAAGGTGTCTGGGTTCCAATAGACTTATTTTTCTGACTGCCGATAACTAGTGATATAATGATTCACTCTACTCACGTCTCACGATGCGATTTAAGACAAATTATAAATGAAAAGATGTCCTTTTATTATTGCTTGGACAAAATGCTGAACATTTCTTTGTGAAATTGAAATATGAAATTTTAAAACAAACCCAAATCAAATAAATAAATAACACAAATAAAAGAAATATCTTCATATAAAAACAAACTAAAGCTTTGCCTGTGCTTTTTTCATGAAGATGAAAAGAAAATATCATCTTAACTGTTCTAAATACAATCGTTTCCCCTTAAAGATACATTCATATAAACTCCTACCCCCAACTGTATCGCGATTCGTTTAATATCTCAACCGATTTGAATCGTCACATATTTGTATCGATTTTCAACCGGCAACATCCCTTCCGATTACTAACCTCTCTCCCATTTTACAATGTTTGAAAGGTCAGATAATGTCAGTTATGATAATGCAAGTTGTCTTTAGGAGCATTATAGCTGGTTTCTACCTGCTAGAATCTTCACAGTAAGTGAAGGCAACACTCCGCAAGGAAGCATTCTTACTCCTTCGCATAGCAAACACACACTATACTAACAGAGTGCACTATACACATACTAATGTTCATTATTAAAGGCAAGAGTTCCTGTACTGTGATCTGTCTGACAGAGTTGCAGTTGGGAGCTGGGGAAGGGGAAACCCCATGAAGAACTTCACACTGGGTTTCCCAGAGGGTCCCTTATACACTTCCAGTCAATAAATGTAATTTCATAACCTCCTCAAGACTAAAAATTGCTTAGTTGCCTGATGAACCAGCAAAAAATGTAGACATACACAACGGTAGTGTATTAACCAGAAGATTTTTTGCACATAATACCACAAACTGACGTTGTTGTTAACCACTTAAAAGTCAGATAAGCTGAGCTCTCTGAATTTAGGAAGAGAAAAACACAGCTTTTGGTTTTTAGTTTTAAAATACTGTAATTAATGATTGTGCCTTTGAAATTAATGCAGAGAAATTTTTAATTATTCTGAGGATTTCAAAACAGAAATCACAAGACCACCAGTTCATGCAAAAAAGTTAAAAAACAGATAATTGAAGAGTTCTCACATTTTCCTAAATTACAAATGGGAACATGAGATTGCCAAGAAAAAATGCCCCCTAAATCTCACATCCTCACTGTGGCAGCAAGAGTCTTGTGAGAAAAGCCACAGAGGTCAGTAGGTGAGAATGCAAGAATTAAGCCATTACTCCCAAAAAAAAAAAAAAACTTGCTCTGCCAAAAAACGTTATATTGCTAATATGAGTAAAAAAGTGTGGCCAATTTGTGGCCAAAACCTGTGAAAATGTCTATATATTGTGCAAATTTAACACTGGCCACACTTCAAAAACCAACAGCTTCACAGTGAAGAAGGTGTTGGAAGCATCATGCTGTGGATTTGCTTTTCATCGGCAGAGCCTGGGCATCTTATCAAAGTACATGGAAAAATAGATGCTGCAAAACGCAAGGAAATACTACAAGAATATATCTTTCTGTCTGCTGAACTTCAGCAGGACAATGATCTTAAACTATGAGAACATGAAGGTGAAAGTCTGGCCCAGATTTTAACCCCCAAATTTGGTGGCATAAGATGAATCGCTTGTCATATTCCTCATTTGTAAGACGCTTTGGATAAAAGCATCTGCTAAATGAATAAATATAAATGTAAAAACTGCAGTGTACAAACATCACCTGACTACATGAACAGCATAAATCTGGGAACATACTTAGAAAAAACATGCACAACGGCTCCAAAATATAGTTAAACAAATAAAACATTTAGAATATGTAATAATTATTTATAATATTTTTTTGGGGGGGGGAATAAATGTAAATATTTTTATTTAATTAAAAAAGCATTAAAATAATTTATACAAAATAATTTACATTTTCAGTTTTGGGGGGAAAAACTCAGAAAATTTGTGAATCCTTTTGCAAAGCACCATAACATAAATCCTTCTATTTCTAGAGAAAATAGACACCCCGAAATTCACAAAGCATATTTTGGAATTTCTGCCTTTGTGTAACTTTGCATAGCTCTTTCTTTCAGTTTCTCTACACTAACCTTCTTGGTCTGATGACCTCGGATGTCCCTGCATTTCTAATGAATCCATCAATAAAACTCAGAAGAGACCAACCTGGCAACCACCCTGATACTCCAGACACATACCTGGCAACCACATATGGGAGTAATCCATGGATACAACAGGACCGGTCTTTGTCATGTTGATGAATATGTGTGCAGTCGTTCAGTGAAGTCCTCTTCCTCTCACACACATGAATACACTCTTACTCTTTCTCTGTCTCACTCTCTCCGCGTCTCTTTGACTCTGTCAGTGTGCGGCCAAGGAGGAACAAACTGATAACAAGTGTGGGGGTGAACTCTCCACTCCTCCTTCTCTCCTCCCTCCGTCACCTCCTCTCTACGCTATACTCACCCACACCTCCGCCTCCTCTTGCCGACTTCCTGACCCCGAGAGAGCAAGAAAGGAGCGGGTCAGGGCAGACATGCCACATTTACAAGAATGCAACGCTGACTGCATTTTACACTCGTAAGTGTGTTACAGGTCGTTTCATTGAGCGAATTCATGCGTCGGTCGCATCTGGAGGAGGAAATGCTGAGGAAGACAAGCAGGATGGTGAGCGTGCGAAGGAGGAAGTGAAGCGCTGTCGATCGGTGGGCTGAAGAGTGGGGTCAGGTGAAGAGAGAGAGGATGAAAGAGGTTGAGAGTGGGAAGGCAGCAGAGAGGAGCGAGAGATGAAAGAATAAGCAGATGGTGTGATAGAGGTAAAAAGAGGGGGAGAGTTGTGCCGCTGGAAAGTGCTGGGGTTGCTGGAAAGAGTAGCTCACGAGTCCTGCGGTGACTCTCCGTCTCTTGCACACCCATTTCACGCTGTATCTCTACTGTATATCAACACATCTGTCACAACACAAGCCTCCATCAGAAAATACAGAATGAGGACGCTTGCTCACACGGCTTTTTTCCAACCTCACACGTCCACACTGGGGCATGAATCACCCCGTAGGAGCCCAAAACAAAGCAGAGAAAGCAAAGCAAGCTGTATGTGTTGTGATATAAAACTGTAATGTGTCTAAAGCTCATGACTGAAAATAAAAATGTCCAAACTGTCCAAACTACATGTTCCGCATCAGTGAACAGTGTGGACACACCAGATTGTCATATTTTATTTTTTATTATTTTACACATTTTCGAAAAATACTAAAGTTATTAAAAGGTATAAAACAACACAAATAGACGTGCCTCCTGGGATGCTTTTGTATTGAAGTGTTAAATCCTTATTGGCTTCTTTTCACTATTTGCTCCAATTCAAATAAAAAAAAAAATCTAAAACTTTTCTAAAGAAAATCATACAGTGACACAATATTTGTATAGTAAATTTATTTGAAGGATTTATGCATGAGCCTTTTATACAAAAGTTCTTAAAACTCTTAAGAAACAGTTACATTTGAATGGTGCTGTATATTGTAAGTTTTCACCAGTATTTGCATCTTCATAAATTTAAAAGGATTTAAGAAAATATAATCCCAATAATCTGAATATTAAATAAAGATATAGTATTAATATAACAATATTAAGGTTAATATATCTTAATATGATATATAACAAAAAATATTTCCTATAAAAGGAAGATTTTAGCATATATACATATACACAATATGATACTGTATATTTAGGATCATAGTTTTAGGGTGTTGAGTGATGTAAAAGCATCCCATCTGAACATTCACATATATATATATAGAGAGAGAGAGAGAGAGAGCAGATGCCTAAAGATTCATCACTGTTAGTTTGCTGTTAGACAAATTCCCAAAGGTGGTCAGAAAAGTGAGATTCAGATGCATACAGCAGAAATCAGAGAATAGAGAATGTTTACCTATGAAACAAACCAAATGGTTAGAAGGAACATATATTTATGGGTGACTTAAGAGACTGCAGTACTGTATGTTTAAGACTAGGAGGCGCCATCGCTCCACTTCTAATGAACGTTATGAATAGTTTCTCTCCAATTTCCTGATTGATCAGTCTTATTTCCGTGCACTCGCTTTACTGCTTTACTGCTCATGTTAACATAAAATACATGTTTAAATAACATGTCTAGTTATTAGTCTGTATTAATCTGTATTAATATACTGACACACACGCAAACACAAATCTAACAAAAGACAGCTGCCTGTACAGGTCTATATGACAGCTCAATTTACGTACTGTTCTCATATTCATAGTTTCTTCCTATACCATCTTATACAATTTAACTATGAAAAAATAATCACAAACCGATACAGACATTTGTTATACTGCAGAATTTGAGCACTATTTATTGTATCACACAAAGAGAGCAGAGCGTCAGGCTCACGGTCATCGACAGCCTGTCTGTATGCTGTGCGGCTGCTGGGGTTAAAATTCATGACCCCAGAGGTCACACAGCACAGACACATCTGCATATGTCACAGGGGTCTCAGGCCATTTGGCCAGCCGCTCAGCTAAGGGCTTCCTCGTAATAATTGCAAACGACATTTTTAGCTTGTGTGATGCATTCGTGGAACAAACAGGAACATCTCCTGATCCACCAGCACATATGCCTCTATAATCTTTAAAATCAAGTATGTTCCTCTCGCTCTCCTTCTCTCCATGTTTATCTGATCAGCTGTCCGTTTAAGAGCGTGAGCTACAGGCCTCAAGAGAGCCATCAATCTTTCAGCTGTCACAGCTCAGAGCCGTATACGTGCGTATGTGCGTGAGTGATTAGATACTAACTATTTCACACAGTGAATGCTCTTCACGCTGCAGATGCAATCATGTTTGGTCCAACACAAATGTGTCTTAGTCTTTAATGCTGATAAAGTTACTTTCCGTCCTTCATTCCAGGCTGAGGCGTCCACCTCCTCACCTCCATAAACACAACTGTCCATTCTCTCCACTTCCCACTCGCTCCTCCAGCTGTTAAACTATCAGCACGTCCCGTAACGTAATGATGAAAATACTCTTTTTAAATTGTTTCCAGACATTTCTTTCTCTCTTTCTTCCGTGCTGGTCAGCAGATGCTGTGACATCACTGGACACCGCTCTGCACTGTGATTGGTCACTGGCCTACGTTGCCAGGCAACAACAGTGAAAGGTCTCTTGTGTGTGTGTGTGTGTGTGTGTGTGTGTTTGTCTGTGCTTATGTGTATGTTTTTACCCCTGTGACAGACAGTGAAATGGTAAATGGAGAGCGGCTCTTGTGCTGATAAGTTTCTTATCTGAAATGGAGCATTTTTCCTGTAATGTCAGGGTTATGTGTCGTTTCCCCTGAATGAATGTGTGCATGTTTAATATGTTGGCGTATATAGGTGTGTGAACACAGCTGTGTGTGAGAAAGTGTGTGTGTCTGGGGAATAGGTGGTTATTGTTTTTGACACAGACCCTCATATTTCTGCATCGATCGATTCCTCTGACTCCCGCCACAACAATAATCGCGCACACACACACACACACTTGGGCCTCTTTTTATCAGTAGCACTATTACTGTGCAGAAAGGTAGAGGGGGAAATAAGGGGAGCTGAGAGGAATTCATACGGCAGAACGGGAAAGAACGCGGATGTAGGAGAAAGTCAGGCCACTTGAAAAAGAAGTGCACAGTGGGAGAATTGATAGTAAAATCTCACTGGGAAAGAAAAGGACAGGGGGAGATGAAGAGAGATGAGAAAATAAATGAAAAACTTGGAAGATAAGACTAGAAAGTATAAAGAAATGTGTGTAAGCTGAAAAAGTGCCACCAATCCGATACTCTTGGTCGCTACAAATGACCGTCTGAACTGAACTGAATTTTTTTTGGTGCAATATTGAAATTGTTTTAAAATTTTTCATCGGTTTAAATAAACCAATGATGCTTTATTCAAAACTCTGGTTTACTGATTAATTTGTGCAATTTTTGTTCTGCATTAAATTCGCTAAAAAATTACATTTTATATTTAGTATTTATTTGATTTTTTTAAATGTATTTAAAAATGATTGAAATATTTGTTATATTCATAATATTACTATTTATTGCTATACTCTGGATACAAATTAAAGTGATTAATATTTTATATATTTGCATAATTGTATATTTAAAAAAAAACTTAATTTTGTGAAAAACCATGTGGAAAATGTTCATTATGTTAACTTTTTACTTTACACATTAAATATTTCGAATCTAATTGGCTACAGTGACTTCTTGGTGATACTATGTTTCCTCAGATTAATAAAAACACCCATTTCGGAACAAATACATAAAAATCGAGATATATATCAAATAACGTCATAAGCCTGAAAATTACCTCTATAATATTTTTAGCTATCTCGCCCAGCCCTACTGCAGAATAATAACAGAAGAGCATTACAAGAAAGAAAATGAAGGATTCATCCCATCTTTTTCCAATAAAAGAAGAAATGAGGGATTGAATTGGGGAGGATGGGGGGTGAGGGTACAACAAAAGAGATGAGACACACATACACACAGAAACTGTTGTTTTTGAGAGATGAGGAAGAGATGTTATTAGGTTGACAGCAGCGTAATGACGGAGCGACTCTAGAGCTGTCACAGAACAAGCACAAGTGCACGGTGATGGAGGACAAACACGGACCTGTTCACACCGACACTGTCACTTTCACGAGGAACCGTTTGGTTTGACATGAAGGACGGGTCATGATGGTCAACTAGTGAGGCTGACTAGTTTACCAAGGTTTTTTCTTATATTTGATTTTTAAAAAGTTTTATTTAGTGCATGTCAAGTTTCATTAGACATTTTGTAGTGCTGCTAATTGTTTTTGAATGCAAGAATCTGTCTTATATATGATAGATCGAGTGAACCTAAACTAAGCTAGTGAAACAGGCAGCTCGCACACTAGTTGATTTTTAATATTTCATTTTGCACATTCTTAATTGATATCCTCCGTTCTCACACGGAAACGTGTTTCTGTCTTTTCCGATAGTTCAGACAGCTATAGTATTGTAGTTATGATTAAATATCACTAGTTTACAATTTCAGAAATAATTTGACCTTTAACCTGCCTTTCACCTTTCCCTGTGCAGTTTTTTTCCTTCAATTTTTCTCCTGTCTGTCATTCTTACTCATCAATATTCCCACTCACCCTCCATCTTTATCACAACATCCATCTTTCTCTCTCCCATAATCCCATTCTCCTTCGCTTTCCGCCCCCACCTTTTTGTATCACTTCAT